GATAATAAAAAATTAAAATTATTAAGAACACCTATTAATAATCCTAAATTCAAATTTCTTCTAATAAAAAAATTAAAAATTAAAATAGTCCATATCTAATATTTAAATGCTTTAATACTAATCCTCTTAAAATTAATTGAAATGCTCTTTAATTATTATAGACTCTTTAATCATTTTAATATGTAGAAGGATTAAAAGTTTGAATTTGTGATTGTAATTGCTGATTTTTATCAATAAATTAGAGTAAAAATCATTCTAATTTACCTAAAAAATTCGGTTCTAATATCCAGTAATAATATTTAAAAACTTCTTGCATGCTAAATTTTCTATTTGATTTAGTGGTATCAACTATTGAATCCATTATTCTAAATATCTATTAGGTCAATTTAATTTGATAAAAGTCTGAGGGCAATATTTTTATCATCCTTAAATTTTGATTAGGTTTAAAATTGAACAAAATGTAGAGAGATACTGGATTTTAACTTGATAGATCACTATTTTAATTTTTCTTATGATTTTTTTTTATATAAGACAGACAAGAATTTTTATTTCCAAAATTGCTTACTTTATCCCTGAAATATTACTAAAAATACATTTATTCTTAAAATAATAAAAAAGATTATTGCTTTCATTTAATAAATATTTAGATTATAGAATTTGTGATAAAAGTCAGAGAGCATCAAATTTCCAAATAAATAAATTTAAACTTACTTAAAAAGATTAGGGTACTGATTTATATTTAAAGGTTATATGTACTCTAATAAAAGGAAAATTTAATGGCTATTATTTTATAGAAATACATAAAATCTTATATTCTACACTAATGAATTAATTACAAACCTTTTTTTAGGTATTTGATAATATGTTAATAGAGAAAGAGATTGAAATATCAATAGAATTAAATAGAATTAGTATAATCTTAGAAATAATAACTCAAATATTTTTATTAATAATAATCTAAAATAATTATATAATTATTTATATTATCAAGAATATAATTTAAATATGTTAAAATTGGACAGTTGTGAATTCCAAATGAGCAAGTATTTAGAGTCGTTTGTAACTACTCCTTTCTACTTGCCATTTATTTAATTTTAAAAACTTGACAATATCACGAATGTTCCATCCGATTATTATTTCACCACTTCTATGGTTTTATCATAACTACAAATAATTAAGTTAAATTATGAGTTATAGATAAATGGAAATTTAACTTTTTACTTATTCTCATATATTATTGATTTGTTAGATTTTTATTTAAAAATTTAATCTTTTTCTTCAAATACAAGAAATATTTTTTCTTTATGTTAAGTCCAAATAAACTAATTATCTTAAATGAAAACTATTTTACCCCCTTACTATGTAAAAGAATGATTAACAAAGTTTTTGAATTCCCAATCATCATATTCATTTTTTTTCCAAACAATTATTTAACCATCTTCACTACAAGATATTAAAGTAGTTTCAGATTGATTCAAACAAATTGAAGTAACTTTTTATTCATGTTTTTTTAAAGAGTATTTAAATAACAAATCGCTCTTTTAAAATTATAAGGAATAAAAATTGATTGTTGAATCATCAGAGCATGATATCAATTCATTTTCTGTTTTGTTTAAGATTAAACATCTTACAGTTTCCATGTTAATATTCTCATAAATTTTATTTATATATTATATTCCATTCAGATAATTCCATATTTAAAGACTTCCATCAATATATAGTCCCAAGTGATCAAATACTCTCCGTCATCACTTAATTGTCCATAAATACAATCATCATCAAATTGAATAGATTATAAAACTATAAAGTCACCATTTTATTTCTTCTATATTATATTCACATTTCTGCTATTCTTATTCACTAGTAGGCATTTTTATATTAAGTATTATTATGGAAATAACCAATCACAATCATATGAACCACACTATACTACAATTTGCTTAGTCTTCTTATATTATTTATTATTAGTATCTAATTCATATATGTGCATTTATTCTTAAGCGTAAGGTTAGAATGTAAATTCATTATCATTAATAAAACATAATCTTTTTCCATATTAATCAACTTATATCTTTTATGTAACACTCCATTATTTATTTAAATTAGATTATTCTATTACTAATATTTATTTATCCTTTGAACAAGATATCAATTTATTTTATTGTTCGTTTAGACTTAATGAATATACCCAATCAGTATGATCAGTTATGGTTTATTAACACAACCATTAATTATTCTATTTCATCCAAAATTTTATTGTTTTATCTGCACTACCTGATATTATTAAATCATCAGTATTATTTATCAATAAACAGAATATACCAAGCGAATGTCCATTTAATATTTATTAAGAATTCCATTAATTATGTCCAATCACCTACCATATTATAATTGATTTGTCTCTACTTCCAGATACAAAATTATTGGTCTTTTTCATAAAATTTAAAGTATAAACTCTATCTTTATGCTCTTTTAACAATTAAATTTGATTCAATTTCCCTTATTGATGTTGAAATACTTTAATTGCTAGATTACATCCTGCTAACACAATTGATTAATCTTTATTAAAAGCAATAGCATAACACAAATCATTTTACTTAATTGTATTTTAATTCATGAGCTCAAAAGTGAATTTATCTAAATTTTCTTTAAAGATATTTAGATTCTATGACTATTCTAATATTTATAGTTTTCTGTCAAAATTTTGAAGTTATTACTAAGTAATCTTTTCTTTCTAATTTGTTTAAGTCTTTAAGTTTTTTAATATTTAATCTATAATATTTTTGATTTATTGGATAGATTATTAAAGTTATTTAAATAATATTTACTCACACTTTTCCACTTAACTTAAACCTTTAATAATGTTATCAATTTAAGAAATTCCAATTTCTGAGAATTATTGGATATTGAAATTCAAATAAGGAATCAATTAGTTAATAAGATTATCAATTGATAATTTACACTCCAAAACATTGTTTTAAACATTTTGAACACAAAGGATTCTTTATTAAATCCATTCATCTAAAACTTCTAAAGATGTTAATTTGTTAAGATGTTCAATATGATTAGGCAAGCAAGAATTACAATAAGGTCTTTAATTTAGGCATTAATTATCGATACAACATCCTATTATTTACTAATTCCGATGATCACCTTATGTACATCTAATTTACATTTTCTATTTCTATTAAAAAAATTATTTAAATTATCCTTAATTTTCAATCATTTA